GCATGTATGGTATGGGGAAACGGTATGTAATACTTACGTGACATGATGTCTATATGGCATTCCTGGGTGTCGTGCGGGAATTTGGCGAAATCCATATCACAGCTCAGTTGTAGGGATACCCTGTCGGCGACAATAAATATCATGACATACTGTATCTACTCTTATACACACTTATATATATATACTTCGGTATATAACGTATTGTTAACATTAATAATAATGAAAAATATTTCGTTTCGCAATAAATATACTTATAATTGACTTAAAAGAGTGCATTAAGTCGAGAGAATTGTTTGAATTATTTAATATAAAATAAGTAGATTAATATGGCTGTAGTGAATATACAGCATTTTCTTATGAATTTTCTTATGCTAGTAACATTATCACAATAACTTAAACTTATATTGCAATATAATCCTAGTTACGAATAATTATTCTTAGGATTTTATTACTATTATATTAACTAACTCTAGAAATAAATACAAAATAATAATAATAATATATACTAGAACAACAGTAATGTATAACTATTATAAATAATGTTCCATGTTTATGCCTAGGAGCATTATTATATTACATTCTCTATCTAAATGTCTAGACAAGAATTTGTTAATTAACAAATATTTTTAATATTTTAATAGTAACTGACTGTTTAAGAAATAATTTATGAATATTCTAGAATAATATAAGGATAAACTAAATACCTAGATGCCATAAACAGCTCCGTTTGATTGTGAACCGCGAAATACAGGGTCGGGAATATGATGTCAGTCACGTGACCACTCAATGCATTCTGTGAATACAGTAAAACAATTTTATATCTATTATTGACTTTAATATGCTTTGACATTAAACATCAATTATTAAATCTTAGCGATGTTAGTATAAATCCAGCTATGATTGAAAAATAAATACTTTAAACAAACAGCTAACTAGAGCTATGAATAATAGATAATATATTATATGATTATAACTGTAAGTATATGAAGAATATTCTGGCAAACCTTGAAATAAGAGTCAGGAATCCATAATTTATGTCTCCATTTGTTATCCAATACTATTAGAGCTATGAATAATAGATAATATATTATATGATTATAACTGTAAGTATATGAAGAATATTCTGGCAAACCTTGAAATAAGAGTCAGGAATCCATAATTTATGTCTCCATTTGTTATCCAATACTATTCGTGAATCAAGTGTCAGATTCTGGGGCAGAATCCTATAGTCGGACCAATACTGGTGATAGAATATGTCCACAATATATGACTGGGGATTAAAATTTTGTTTTTGTAGATTCAACCATGGAGATTTTGAAAAAGTAAAAAAGTAGATTTTAAAATGCTGTCGAAAATTGCTTGAAAATCTATTATTTATTATACAAACCAATTCTGTCTCCTTTATTGATCGTATGTTAAGTATGGATATCTTCACGTCAACCTTCACTGGATTTCCTGCAGAAATTCAAATGTATTTTTCAAAATCATATTATATTTCACTCGCATTTTATTGCCATAGAGAATAAATAATAATAAAAAGAACAGGCACATATAATATAAAAACAATATTTTATTAGCCTATTATTACCGTCAAGTTTCGGTGGCATTAATGGGTCGTAATATTTAGGTAATAGTCTGTCGACGAGCATTGAATTCGTTGCGAATCTGTAGTAATTTTGTTGAAAAAGTTTTTTGTTTAGTAATTTTGAAACAAATTTTATTAACATGAAAATGTATATTCACAAATTGTCAGGCGTTCCCATTTGTAGCATTTGTATACAAAATACTATACGAATAAGCAAATAATTCGTTGAATCCATTTGTGAGCCTTTTTTGTATTAGTTTGTTTTGTGTGGGTCTGTATTATACCTCTGTCAATTGAAATGGGAAATATAATTTTAAATACAACATATAAAAATATTATTTCTTATTGTATGTGTTTTTATATAATACAGTATATTCATTACTATTTATTAGAGTTTTGGGAATAATTTAATTTAAATAAAATACAATTCCAGTAATTTAATACAACTCCTTTGTATGTGCTTTTTATATTAAAAGTCCTAGAAAATGAAATCATATTTTATATCAAATATAAATTAATAAAAAATCAATATTTGATTTAAAATCCATCATAAATGTATATATTGTAGAATATAAAGTTACAGTGTTTGCTACATTCTTACATACATTTGCTACATTATGTTATTCATTGCTTATGCTAAATAAAATTATTATTAAATAAATACAGTATACTATATTGAGTATAGTACTAAGTTATTATTATACTAATAACTTATATCTGTCAAACCTTGTTATAATGCTAATTATTGTCAGTCTACCTGGTAGACTCTACTTATGCCATTAAGTGCTATCCAAACTTGTAAATAAAGATTATGACAATTATAATGTATCGCAGACTATCAATACAATACAAATTATGTGTGTTTTAACTTCCCAATACATTAATACTAATATACTTCTAGACATACTAATAGCTTATGAAAACGTTACAGTGTATTGTATAATCATATTATTTGTGTGACACATGAACACAAAAATAATTATTAAGTGTTTTTTTGATGAATGACTGCTCCATTGAAATCTATACTTGTTTTCAACTCCACTGAACAACTGATAGTCAAACCATAAACTCATGTTATGTTTGGCGAGAGAAATATAATGAAATTCTTATGTCTATCATATGAGCCAACCCTCGATTCATACGTTAAATACATCCAAAAGAAATGTAATCTATTTATACAAGTATTACAACATATTATACATAAGAATATTCTCTAAGTCAGTGAATAAACAGAATCATGTCTGGAGTGTTGCTATCACTTGATTTATAAACCAAATAGCCGTACGATAATTGAAATCAATATGTAATATAATATTATAATCTTTAGAAATGTAATATTATATGAAATGTACATTTATAAGACATATTTTTATTAAACGACTTTACTGGTAAGTAAATACATATTTTATACAAAATACTAAATTTTTATTCTCGAGCATTAAATTAATTGAAAACATTTAGAGTACATTATCATTAAAAATAAAACATTTAGGCATTTCTTTTATATAAATTCAGATATAAGTAGAAAATGTTTTCAAAAGTAAGACCGGAAAGTGCTTTAAATCCCATATAAATTTTGCAGTCCAAATAAAATTTATAATAAATTGCTAGTTACTTTACTATACACTGTACTATTTGAATGCCATGATAAATATGCAGTTCATACAGTATAAGAAATTTGAGTAAAGTACTCAATATTTTCATTTGTCAACACTTTCCTAATATATACCGTATTTACTGAACCGTAAATAGTATTTACTAAATAAAAAATATTTTTAATGCAAAAAATAAAACCTAAATAGCGATCCAAGAAATATATATTAAAAGTAATGCTAAATAAGTATTTCCGAGAATAAAATTTCATTTTCAAACATTTTTCATATGAAACATGAGTTTTTAAAAGTCTAAACGTCTGAAAATAAAACTAATATACAGTTAGTGGCGAATATGAGGGCTGAGACTAAGTGGCGGCTCATATGATGTGCTAATGTGTAAAAAGCAATAAAATTATTAAAACTATGCTAAAAAGTGTATTAGCATACAAGTCTTAAAGTACTACAGTATATGCACTCAACAAAAATTATATTTTGATGTATGTGCCAAACAAAACTATTTTTCACTTATTTTGTATGGAAATCTATAGTAACATGGAAAATACGAAAATATTTTTAATATATTCCACATTATTGTTAGTAAATTGAAACACAAATTCTTGCCAAACAAACAACAAATGTATGTTTAAATCTTTTAAATTGAATTCCTGTTTAAAATTGAAATATCTCTTTAAATCTCAATTGAAATTTAAGTCTGAAATTGTGTCTTAACAAATATTATGTTGAGAGAGAGAGAGAGAGAGAGAG